CTCACTACGTCCAGATGAACAGAATCAACTTTTGGAGATTTACTTTCCTGGATGATTGAGAATGCATCAAGACATTATGAAGTCTGAATAGTCGTTATGAATTTCAGTAATTTTTTTTATAAAAAGTGGTGATTTTTTTTTTTTTCTTTTTTCCACAGCATAGAGAACCACAAAGATTGGCAAAAAAAGAACATGCAATAGTAAAATTAAATGAGAAAAAAAATTTTTTCTTTTGAATAAATGAAATTGGTTTTAGATGACACTGGGAGTCGTGGTGATGAGGATGGCGTGTTTGAGCTACGGATATAAAAGCAGAAGGAAAATTGGAACTCGGTTTCACATTTCAGTGCAAACAGGAGCTTTTTCCTACTAGTGCTGTGAAAACTCGGATTTTCCAAACTCTTCAAGAAACGAAGGAATTGCAAAATGATTTCTGCCGACTTAGATCGCTAGATGCACCTGCTATCCCTTTTCATTGAGCGTGAGAAAGATCAATGCTATGGTGAGTACAGCAGGCTAAAAGGTATAATATAATATGTCAGACTGCTGTGCGCCTCCAATAAGGAGGGGTGAGGTTTCTCACCTAAATGCAGCTGCTTTATTCTCAGCAGATTGTTGCTCAACTAATATGAAAACGTTAGTCCTTAATGTGAATGCGTATTAAAACCTCAATGAGAGTCCATGCAGCCTTACACCACATGAAAATGTGAAGGCTTTCATAAACAATGAGTTCTGCTGGGAGCTTCTTACTGTGTGTGGAATAACATATGATGATGTAAAGCCATGTCTTGACAATTTAAAGTCAGGCTTTAATTTGTGCGATCACATGATTAATGTAGACGCACGCTTTGTTTCCTCGTAGCTGAGCTGGTGAGTCCAACCATTTCACGTCAGATGGTCGTCATTAACTTGAGGAACCGTCAACTGACCAACAGCAATCTGGACTCCATGTCCCACCTGGTCCTCACTCTATACCATAACCTGGTGACGGGGTCCAAGGACTTTCCTCACATACTGTTTAAAGGATTGCTCCACCGGGACCAGGTGACGACTCCATTTGTCCATGTGAGGCTGAGCCAGAGAGAGAACACCGCTCCTTCTCCTCCTACGGACTCACCAGCTGGGATGATGCTGCCGCCTGCGGGCTCCAGCTCTCATCCACGCTTCCTGACTCCAGTTCTTCCCGAGAAAGCAGATCTCGCTGTGCTGAAGGCAGACCGGAGGAACTGCGTCCGCACCCTGACTGTCGACGGCCTCCCCGTCACCAGAGTCATCTCCACCGTTTACCGAACAGAGGACAC